ATTCGAACCCAGGACCTTTTGGTTACAAGGCAAGCTCGTATACTATTCAGCCACCTCAAAAAATATTCCTAATTAATCCAGAATAGTGGATAAAGAATGTTTTTTTCATCATCAGTTTCTACATTTATACGGTCGTAATATTAATAATATACGTGTCAAGAAGGACCTTAGAGTAAAATGGACTTTCTACGTGTCCTACTGTGATAAGAAGAGCAGACGGTAGTATAAGTAGGAATATGCACAAAAAAAGTATTTGGATCCGTCAATAAACACATTTTCACAGGAATGTTCCTCTCGCATACTGAAGAAGCTTGGTGAAGACCTTCAGCTCTAGAGTCAGGGTTACTCGTTTAGAAAATGCCACTGAAGACGAAAAATTAAGGGTTGTACACGTAGAGGTAATTGAAAACAGCTGCCTTATCTAAGATGGTAAGAATCCTTTATATATATACGTCACACAGGTTCAATATTTATAATGACCCCAGCAATTAAAGAATTTTTGGTGACGGGATTTCATTATGAGGTGAAATTGGTTAGAGAACCCTTGGAAAACCAGCTGGGAGTACTGAACAGTTGTTTCCTCCATCCTAGTTTGAGACTATTCATCGGTTTGCACCCAACGTAGTTCGAGCCCAGGACCTCCCGGTCACAAGTTGAGCTCGTAGATCGTTTGTCTCTTAGACCTAATCCTCTAGTCCATTAATTACAACTCCTGCCAATTCACGATGTCACCAATGTCAGTTCCTGGTGAAACCCTGTAACCAATCAATGAAATCCCTGCAAACCAATACTTGAATTAGAGAATTACTGTTAATAATAACGTTAATGCTTTAAAATTCATTTTGTTAGCAGGATCAACAGATGACATTTCAACAGTCTCAACAGGTGTGATACTATGAAGTAGAGTAAATCTATACTGAATATCAGATAAGTTAGGAAAATTAAAGAATTTATGAATTTATAGGTTCCATAGCTGGCTAAGGTAGCAGCCGTGTCTGGACCTGTCTCTTTTGCGTGCATAGCTTTGGTTGATTTCAGAGAATAACAATAGCGTCTGCTATTTGCACTGTTAGTTATCTAGAGGCCTTTGGTAATTTTCTCAATACCCGATAAATAATAAAGACTTTTCAAGGCTCTCTTTCTGGCCTTTATTTATTCCCACCGGTAAGTATTCTCAAGTACGAAAACTTTAGTTCCTACAGCAACGACCAATATATTAACGACTCCACAGAAGAAATTGAAATGACAGTTTGCAGTTACAGGTGACTAGCCTGTTTATTTTATCTTTCAGTTTTTGAGATCGTAACTGGCTGTGTGTCAAGTGTGAGTTGCAGCATCAAACATTCTTTAAAATCGATTTTCGCAACTCAGTATATCCCCTTTGTATTGTAGTCGCATATGCTAGAGGCTTATCCTCAACGGATACAGAAGAATTCTTTTCTACACTCCTGGCCATGTATTTAGTGATCAAGTTTTCAAGGTAGCTGTTTTCAATTAACATATCGTATACAACCTTCATTTTCGTCCTCAGTCATATATCTTCTGAATAAATACCTCCGCCAATTTAACTGCGAGTCTTTATCCGATTTCTTTAATACTGGCGTAGAACAAAACTGTGAAGATGTGTACATTGACTGGTTCAGAAGTAGTGACATCACTGAAAACAGAACAACCTGAATTCAAGAAATTCAACTCTTCTTATCGTCATCACAGAATAAAGTAGAGAATGACAGTTAACTCCGCCACCACCTCAACTTCATCGACTTTGTAAAGGCCTTCGACAGTGTTGACATAGAGTTAATATAGAAACTACTTCAACAACCTCATTCAGAAACTATCTGACACTGACACATGTCAGGTAATCCACAACATATAACTCGAAGAAGACTTTTAAGTGAACACAGGAGTAAGACAAGTTCCTTTGGCATCATGCGCTGAGCAGATGAAGATTTCTAAGTCAGAATCGAAAGGTGAGATATACATACCTTCAACACTATCAAATCGTTCTGGAAATCTTCTGCACTCCGCGGTGAAAAGAACATAATTCGAATTTTCAACACAAATGTTAAGTCATACAGTTTTTCTATACGGGTCAGAAACTTAACAAGCACGACACGCACAACATTTACAACAGGCTACTGGAGACATTTATCAACAGTTGTCTTCGCTGGCTTTATATTTAAATTCAAATGGCTAGCCGGTCAGAAAGAACTGGCAACAAGAAGCTCTGACTGGGAACAATCCAACCGAAAATTTGTCGTTCAACAAAGAAGGAGGAGAAAGTGGAGTTGGATTGGTCAATCTCTAAGGTGACTGTCGATCGACATTGCGTGCCTCCATATGAGAAGCGAAGAGTGGGTGGTCCGTGCGAGGGTGACATGGGGAGATTGTGTGAGTTCGGGGAGGGGGGGAGATGAGAGATTATGGGCAGTTGTGGACCCAGGTGAAGAGGAAAACATTAAAAATAGAAAAAAGTGGAGATATGTTGTTGCAAGCCGTATTTTCCACTCGTAACCCTAGGGAAAAATTATAATAGTGAAGTTATTGATCGTAAAGGTGATGGATATCAATATTACATGATTAAGTAGCCTAGTAGAAAGGAATAAAAGCTGTTGTAATGCTCGTTAGTAGTATGTGTATTAATAATTAAATAAATCTTCTAGAATTACAAACAAATAATGCGAATCAAACAGAGATGTAAGTTCAAGAATATACCTGTATAGGGGTCAAATAACTTAGTTAAACAGAGGCCAAAAAAGTTTCTGGTCATAAATATAGATAAAGATAAAATTAGAGTAGGAAATTATATTGTCAAAAGAAAGGAAAATTAAAACAATAACGCTAACAAATATAGCAATTAAACAACCTAAAGTAAATCTACCAAGATAAGAGAAGATTAACAGCGGCCTGCTTCTGGATGCATAAATTCCATTTCAACCATTCAGTGGCAATCTCTCCAGTGATGTGTTGAATGTCGGAGCTGTTTAGAACTCTCCTTATTTTAGAAGATTTGAATGCATCGATTTCTTAACTGTTGTCTAACAGGTGTTGACCAGTTGCACTGCTAACTGGTTTTGTACCTTTCATATACAATTTTCTTGGAATATGCTCAGGTATGCGATAAGAAATTCTTCTTTCCTTTCCACTAATGTATACGCTTTGGTACGTACATGTAAACTGCTAACTTTCAGTCGGAAGTAACACATAACCCACAGTGTAACTGGAGTAAATTAACCACAGGTAGACGGCAAATGAAGAAACATTAGTTTGTATTTTGTGATTTCAGAAATTTGATCATTTACACAACCAGTTCAAACGTAACCATTTCTATCACGACTTACACTGCTAGTTAGAGCTTCGCCACCAATAAATGGGAGCAGCGGATATATCCTTTGCATTAAATGCGCTCATCCAGCAGACTTATAAGTCAATCTAGGGTAGCAATGACTTCATTTTCAATGAGAAAGCCAGATACCCAAAGCCGATACACCTAATGAATTGTACAACATTTAACAGGGTATTAAAACACTGCCGATCGTTTCCATTTCATAGATCCTTTTTTCTTTCGAAGACTTTTGGAACATGCAAAGTTGTGGACATCATAAAATTCAGATATTAGACTTTTAACACTAGTCAGCATGATAAATAAGGAATAAACCTTGGTTTTAATATGTTTTTCCCACAGAATTGAAGCCATCCAGTGTATGATGGAAATAAGCGCCTTTTTGCATTCCAGTGGGTATTGTGGTAATTATTAATACAATAATAACATAAAAAGAAAATAGGTCATTTTACATACCCTTTCGTATAATGATTAGTACCTGTCAAATTGATGGTAGATCCGAGTTCAATTTCAGACCAACTCAGTCCTCAATCTAGCTTGGTTTATCAGCCGACAATAATTCCAGTAAGAAGAAAACGCTTAGGCTTGAGGCCACCGATCCCATCCTGCAAAGGTAACACCACAGTTGCTGAAACATCAGAAGATTCAGGCCTTTTATTCCAGTAAAATGAAGGAAAGGGTAAAAAGAATAATAATGACTTACTCTTTTGATGAGATTAGATAGTTGGAGTTAGCTGACAAGTGCCAACTAGCACGAAACCTACGTCCAAGGCTTCCTGTAGCCGACTGCCTTCAACTGTCTAATATCATCAAATCAATGTGAACCTTGATGGCGAGCTGCCTAGAATGGTGACCACATTACAAACCTGACTGATAGAATTCAGACATGTTACAGTGGTTACTTGTGCCGAATCAAAATCACTATGAAACTCTACGATGGTTTGTCATTATAAGAACACAAGAAGTTTTTTTTCATTTTATGTTTCGTGTTCATAAAACTCCAGCATATTTACTTCTTTTGAAACTACCAGTAACCTATACTGGTTTTACCGGTCAAAGTTCTAAACACATATCAACAGTGATGTGTTCATGAGGTTAGAAATACACTCGAACTAGTCGAAACTCATTTGTAAAGACCAGTGACTTGAAGCATTGTGGCTGTATCTATTGAAATAAGAAAACATTCACAAACATAACCTGACGTTATAATCCTGCGATGTTTGATTCAGTGCCTTACTAGATTTAGTCGTTATACTAATAAGAAGTATGGAAACGTGGAGTGCTATCAACTCAGTATAAATTGTGTACCACTGTAACCAGAAATCGTGCGTCGGGGGCATAGCGGTTAGGACGCTCGTCGACCATGAACACGGTCCGGGTTTTGATACCGGCTGACGCACTCCTTTACCTCGCTAAGCCAGTAGTAAGACTGGTGGAGAGGGAAGGTTAGGTGTGAGGCTAGCAACCCCATCCTGTTAAGAAAACGCGGCTACAGAAACTTCAAGCCTCTAGCTTGAAGCTTTATGTTTCACTGGGGACGTGAGGGAATAAAAGAAGAAGAAGTAACCAGAAAAAAAGTATTAATTAATTTAATTTTACTTTGAATTCTAGAATTGAAGATGACTCCTTTTTTGTTTTGTTTTTTACTTTCTTTAAGGTATTTATGTATCAGATGTTCCCCATGTTGATTCCTGTTCTTGGAAGTCACCGTGGAGTCAAGTAACAAAGGAGCAAAAACGGTATCTACGCAAACGATACGCTTTACACTGTGGTACATGTAGGGTAAGTTAACAACAAAAATGTGTTCTGTGATCTATAGCAAACTGAGGATACAGTGAAGCTAAGTCTTCCTCATTATATATTGCCACATAAAGCAAACTTAACCTTGGTTGTATGCGTACTATGGGTTCAGTGTGAGCTTCTAAGAGAAACTTTCATAGGATATTCAGGAGGTATACTACATTTTTTGTGTGTCTTCAAAGCGTAGTTACAAGCTCTAAGATTTCAGTAGCTTTACGGAGTGAGGTCTCCATCCTCAGGCTAATCTTCCCGTTTATCCTCAGCCTGCTATATGCTATTGAACTAAATGAGCTTTAGAGATGCTTCTGCGGAAATCGCAGCCCAGAATAATCGCATGTTTGACGAACCTTCTACTATTGAACCAGTGATGCGGAATGAAGTTATGATATAATCACTTTCGTACCACAAAAATGTTAACAAACTGTTAAGCTTTGAATAAAAGTACGAGTGACCATAGTTAACAACCGCCCCGACCCAATCATTGAATCGTACTACCCTAAGGGTTATATTCAATAAATTTATAAAGGACCATCTAGGTCAGACAAAAAGTCGATTACCTGAAAGGTCAGTTCCGAATCTCATTAAGCTAACACTAACCATTTCCTAAATTACCTTCATTCTGAAAATCGCTTCACCTAAATAGTGGTTTCGATGGTCGAATAGGTTAGAACAACCGTATCACTACATATATATGCACATTAATAGGCACACTGTATTTTAAAAATGCAAGGTACGTGCTCATATTTCGTCTGAAAAGTGTATAAAACATTTTCTGGAGGAGCGGGCGTGCTTTAAATCACATAATCCCTAACTATTCACCCACATTTAAACCATCATATTATTTACATTTAGTCTATTTTAGAAAAACAGCCTAATATATGGCAAGAGAAAGATAAACACTATCGATGGTTTGAAGTATTTTCCCTTCAGATACCACATAAGTGTTAAGGTAATATAACGACTATCCATCATTACGTCTGTCAGATTCATCACAATGACCCCATTTACTGTAAAGCCAAAGGTTTTAACTTTTTTCAACTCTGTCATAAGTTCAAATACGTCACATTCTTGATATCTTTATTTCACCTTAAATAACCTTTAGCACTAGGTGGTCATTTATGTAATCAGCGTTGTGTCACGTCCGTGTTTTACTAAAAAAGATCTATTTATCAGAGGAAATGCTTATCCTTGAAAGTATTTAACCGTCTGGCGATGTTTGCCACTAGAATATCTATAAAGAGATCTACTTATTTTTAAGTGCTGCTTTGCAGGAATCTGATGCATTTTATGTCAGTTGACACAATGATATCAAGTAGAGAACCATCGACAACACCAGTGTACAGCTGTTTCGCACTGATTACCACATCGTGAGTGATCGAACGAAGTACCTAGAGGTTAGGAGGAAACAAGTTAGCACATTCAATCACTAGGATGGAATTGAATTCACTCCTGATATATTTCAAAGCAGTTTATTATCCTTTTTGATGCGGTTGTTTTTTATGAGCTAGATGGTTTTATTGAGAGCCTTTGATTGACTTTCTAAACATATATGTTCCAGCGCAAGCGTCTGTCTGTATGAAGTGAAGTGATTTTAACTATCCATGAAGGATGTAATTGTATCGTCGAACAACTTTCGCTGTAGTTAGTTGTTAATTTGTATTGGAACTTATCGTTTTATTCGATTTGGAATTTGACACTTTTATCGTGTGATTTTATTTCATAGTTTATAAATGTGAAGTACAATAATGTGTCTGAGTACCCGGATTCTAAGGTTCCCATGAGATGTTTAGTGTTTCCTTCATTAACAGTTGTCTTCGCCCAATACTCAAGATTGGATGGCAGGCCAGAAAAGATCAGCAACAGGGATCTCTGAAAATGAGTGAACCAATCAGAAACCGATTGTGAAACAAAGAGGCAGGAAGAAATGCAGATGGATTGGCCATAATTTGAGGAAACAAACCATCAAGTGACATCACAAGACAGGCAATCACTCGAGTGGAACCCGAAAGGGAAGCGGCGAGTTGGTCGTCAGTGCAAGGGTGACTTGGAGGAGGTCATGCGAAGAGGAGATGAAAGCATATGGGCAGACATGGAGCGGGGTGAAGAAGCTGGCAGAAAACAGAAGGCAATGGAGACGCGCAGCTGAAACCCTATGTTCCTCTAGGATTTAAAGAATATAATAATAATTTTTTTTCAGTCAAATCGATCTTCACACTTGTTGATATTGTACTCATAGGAATGAATTCATGTAGTGTAGTTTATATTCTCAGACTGGGGTTAGAAGGGGCTGATCACTCCCAGCACTTTTTATATACACGCCCTGACCACACCAGATTACTTATCTCTGGTGGAGTCAAAGGTAAGAACTGATGAGGAGTCTTAAACAAAGGCGAAATAACCTCTGCAGTCACTGAATCGAACAATCTCCGCAAACCAACTTTGGGAAACTGTTTAATGATCGTTGTTTTGAAAATGCCATAAACTCTTTCCTGTTTTTTTACAATGTAATTTATCAAGCTTCCTTGATTTATTACATCGACACCCTGTGTAAACTGTGGTAGTTGATGGTGGTGTTGTTTGGTGTACTTGGGAAAGCAAATTCATGTTCCTGTCAGCTGGTTCAATACTTCTTTTTTACATACTACCCACCTACCTACCTACCTGTAATGTTTGTTGACAGTATATAATGAACAGAATTTTTCAATTACACGTAAGTGTTGTTATCATTGGTGTCACTTTCATCGGTGTGAACACTAACCAAAAATAAAGTCAACACTTAGTCATATATGCGACTATTTATACCTACCTACTATTAAACAAATGTGTATATACAGAAGTATTTATATGTACCATAAACTGAGGTGTCCACAAGAAGAGTTAAAGTCAGGAGTGAAAAGACAGGCGTATTGTTCAATTTCAGATATCTGTTCAACAACAGTTCCATATGGAAACAAGTAGTCATCGTTATTCAGTAGACAAAATGTATATGTTCGTTTGTGTGTATGTGTGTGCGTAGGGGATGGGATGGGATTTCGGACACTAAGACTACGTACGAGAAGAAATTGATAGGTGTTTAAATAAAAACGCATAGGCAATAAACAGTTTACATAAAGAACACACAAAATATTGCCCTCCATCTGTCTTTTCCCCTTTTTTATACTGTAATACCATGAGAAGCAAGACAGTGTAACATAGAAGATACAAAAGATTAAGTGAAAATTAATAATTACAACAACAATAATAACAAAAGTATTAAGTAGTTTATGAAGTGACCGCAAAAATACAACAAAAACAGCATGTTGTAAGTATACCAGGTACAGCCTTATGTTTACTTGACCAAGAAAATGACATTTTCAGTCGAATGAATGTAAGAGTTGTTATTTTTGCAGAAACAAGTATGAAATATGTGACAAGTGGAACAAATTCAATTATACTAAAAAAAATTCAAAAATCCCATAATGTATATTATATATATATATATATATATATATATGTGTAAACACAACAAAACTTAATTAGGGAAAATAATTTCGGTTTCAGATTTGGCTACGTACGACCTGATATCTATTAGTGAACCACTGGAAAACCAGAGACTACTAGATAGCTGTTTGGTCCCATTTTCAGACAATTCACTTGGTTTCAAACCCAGGACTTTCAGGTTACAAGACGAAATGGTAGACTATTCAGCCACTATGGCCCATAAATTTTAACTCTATATATGACTGAATTGGTGGGTGCCACTTGCGACCGGAAAATCCTGGTCTCCAATTCCGGTGGTTGTGCAGTGTTGGAGAGTCCCAAGGAAGGCCGAAATATATGTCTAGAGCTCTCAAGTCTTTCATTGATTCTCTAAATGATATCAGCTTGTTATCAAACCTGTAACCAATCAAATCCCTGCAAACTAAAACTTGTAAATTTTGATTTTAACAAATTCTTCTTCAGGTTCTACAAGTATAAGTCAGTTGATATTTATCATGTAGATTGTCAGTCAGTAAAGGCGAATTAGAATTACGACAGAAAGGTGGCAGAATAGGGGTGGGTTTTGAAAAGCACCTAAATCTACACAGAAAAATGTTTAATCAGTGAGTACATGATGTAAAGTCAAATTCACTAATTCTGTGATATATATGTATATATAAATATATATATGAATAGAACTGGATTTACAGTTGCATAGCCTGAAGAAGAGTGTACTGAAAACACCTGTTCACCCTAAAAATTTTTATTTTGATTGGACACTACGTGGTAGTCAGTTTCATGCAATTAGTGCTTAGTTTGGTGCAGACTGAATTCTATCAATCAAGCAGGTCTGCAATATAGCCACCATGATATGTAGCTCACCAACACGGTGCATTCCGAATTGTTGTTATTAGATGATTGATAGACGACCAGCCGAAAGGCCTAGACATTGGCAATCGGAAGTCATGAAGGCGTATTTGTAATCTTGATGGAATTCATGTCCCTTCTGAGATTCGAAACTGCGTCACCCAGTACTGCAGTCACAGAAATTACCACTGAACTATTTGGGGTCACCATTGGACTGCTGTAAGACTGTACATCGTCTGTTTGTCTTCGCCATTCTCTTATGTCTTTGGGTCATCAGCTGTATTCTTGAACATTTTTAATTGGCTTTCAACCTACTGCTACGCATATCTTGACGATGACAGAAAGTACAGTAACTGATTACTTAACGTATTCTTCAGATCGAACATAATTGCGTCGCATGAAGTACTGTAGACTCCTGAAAACTCACTCATAAACAACCTCTGTAGGATAAAGCACCTTATTGACCCAATCAGACAAAATAATATAATTAACAAGATATCCTGCAATGAGTGTGAGGTCAACTACATAGGTCAAACTAGTAGGTCAGGGGTAGTCAGATTGTCGGAACATAAGAATTTAGCTAAGGTAAGAATGATTGACCCCGAGAAGATGAGTAATTTAGAAAAAAGCTCAGCACTGCATTGCATTGCATGCATTAACACACAACCACATAATAGGGTTGGGAAAAAGTCAAAATTCTAAACATTAACATATATAATTAACATATATAGATGGAGAGAGAGATTGATTAGTGAATCCTGATTCATCGAATCTACACCCAACACATACAATAGAAGTGATCAAACGCAAATACCAGAGATATGGAAGATAATAAATAATGTTAAAATGTATTCAATTTACATTGTGTGCGTCGGTGGCACAGTGGTTAGGACTCTCGTCGACCATGCACATGATCCGAGGTTCGAGCCCTCGCTGATGCACACCTGATATCTATGGTCGGCCTGCAAAATTTGGGCTACTCATATCACATGCTGAAAATTCCATACTTGTACCAAAAATACAGTGTGGAATCAAGCTGTAATCAAAAATAAAATAAAAAATAAAAAATTTATAGCATTCTAACAGGTTACTTATTTTTACTCTAAAAACATCTTATTTCGCATCTGACTGTTTAAGATTGATAGCACTAATATTATTTCTGAATGTACTTTATCTTATACTGGTTTTTGTGGAATGTCTAATTAATGTTTACTCATGTATGTAAATGAAGCGAAAAAGTTGTGTAAGGGATGTCTTGATATGATTATGAGCAGCAATAAACTGTGTTCGAAGCGCGGTCATCAGTAAATATTACTGTATAACAGACACTGTGTTACACTTTATCAAAATAAAATTTTATCCATAGTGGAGTTATACTCTACCACGGCGTCGAAGTTATATCCTTATATCGATTGCTATTTTACTTAAAGATCGTGGATGGAACGAAAATATTACGCAGTTAACTATGATGAAAATTGTGTATTGTGTGTAAATCTGATAAATCTTTCTTTTTTCCTTCACGTTCCCCAGTGAAACACAGGGCTTCAAGCTAGTGGCTTGAAGTTTCTGTAGAAGTGTTTATTTTACAGGATGGGGTTGCTAGCCTCATGCCTAACGTTTCCTCTTTACCAGAATTATTTCTGGCTCAACGAAGTAAAGGAGTGCATCGGCAGGGGATGGAATCCTGGACCATTTGCATGATAGGCGAGTGTCCTAACCACTTTACCACCAACGCATAGATACATCTATTAGCGGCACTAAATACCGAAACGTCAGTTAAAGCAGTATCATTTTATTTTTGCATTCATCGGATACTTAAACAACTTTTTCGAAACATAAACCTATCGTAATCAACCCTCACCTCATAATACTATTTCTACTACTTTGTTTTCCAGTTACAAAGAGTCCTCTATGTGAATCCTGTCTACCATCGTGATCCAAATACATGTTATGTACCGATCAGTCCAAATTCAAATGAATTAATGTGTAGAGATAAATTCTCGTTATGTCACTTCTCCCAGAAACGTAATAATAATAACCGATGCAAATTTACAAATAACAAATCTTATCGTATATGTAAAACATGGTCAACAAAACAAATTTAAATGCAACCGAGGAATAGAAGAATAAAAAGAACCAAAAGTGGTAAACAACAACAACGACAAAGTTCAGAGAATTATCAAAACTCTCAATTTCGCTTTTTTTTCATCTGCTTTAGAATGATTATTCGAAAAAGAATAGGAACTTGAGTATGTTACTGCCAATTTTCTCCACGTGGATCTAAATAAACTGTCTGTCCACTTTGATATGTAAATAATATATATATATATATACACTTAATTTGAAGAAACTTATACTTTAGAAGGCAAAATACATCCAGACCTTCTCGACTTCACTTCTTGGTACATTAAGCATCTTGTTTCACAGTACTATTCTTCGATTAATTCTAGTAATAAGTTATCGACAACAACTCACATTCCAATCAAATATATATTAAATGAAAATATGCAACAATGAAGTACCCTCTTTTAAATAACTTTCTTTGTTCCATCTTCAAAAGCAAATATACAAGCACAGTTATACACTATATTATACCTACTTAAATTCTACTTGTAAACTGGTAAATTTCTACAGTACAACAGACGGCTAGCATAATG